GAAATATATCTGGCTCATGCAATTTTCTCTTCTGTGTTTTAGTCCCCCACTTTTGTTTTACTGATGTGCATGTTACATTATCTCCTAATCGCACATGCTTTTCGACAAACAACAACAAAGCAAACATATGTTTGCAGCTTTCTCCATAACCGGCTACACAATTGCATTCTGCAGTGAATATACTTCCGTTTTTATTCAAACATACCCATGATTCATATTCTTCATCATTTATTCTTGTTTGAGGGACTACAGTTCCTTTTAAATAACAAAATTTTACAGCATCTGATAAGCTGTTAAAAGCAACTGAGGTTACATGACCTGAAGAATAAAGAGAATGTCCTTCTTTCAAGGCTTTAGAGCTGTGAGTGAGAAAAGAATAAGTTTCAATGTCCAAATAGTTTGTGGTTGGTAATAATTTTATTACTACTTCTTTTTCTAACACCCAATTTCCGATTTCAAAAGGATGGGGAAGCTGGACACCTGATTTTAATTTTAATTTTTGAAGAGATCTGGATTTAATTTCTTCAGTTTCTTCTTGTACAGTTTTATTTAATGGTAATTTAAGTTTATTGGCATAATAAACGTTTTTTAACAATTTTTTTTTTGAAGGATTTTCACCAAGAGGAATACTCCTTGCTTGCAGGAATTCTTTCAGTTTAACAAACATTCCAATTTTTAATTTCATCCATAAATGGTTTAATTTTTTCGTTATCAGAGGAAGAATCAGACATTGTTACAGTATTGTAGAAAACAGTAATGTTAAATAATTGTTTTGGTTTGTTTGCGCCTCAGTTATTCCATAATGCTTTATGCGTGAAATTTGAAAAATTAATAGCGAAAAGGCGAATTCAATTTTTTTTTATAATTTATCTATTTTATGCCTTATAATTTGTTGTACGTATTTTTAGGGATCTTTGTAGACGGGGGGTCATAACTAAAAACCTTTAAAAACATGGAGAATATTGTAGTTTTGTGCATTTGTTGAATATCGAGTTACTTAAGTTTTATTTACGTGTTTAACTAATTATTTAGCTTAGTCTGCATTTGCAACAATTTTGAGGAAAGAAAGAAAACATTCTTATATATGTAAATCATTTTTTTACATTTTATCATTTTGGTTAAAGGTCTTCATCAAAAACTTGATTACTCTTAATTAAAAAAAACTCTACTTACCTGGCCACCATTAAAGCAAAAAGAGGAAAGGAACCTCTTTATTAGTGTCAAAATATTTTGGAAAATTGAATTTCAAGTAACAAAAGGAATTTTTAATATATGGTAGTAAATTACCGTTTACCTAAAATTAATGAAATAAAGACACCAAACAAACAATATAGAAATGGTCTGTGTTGAGCTAACTTAACAAGACTTTGGTCTGGTCAGCTTGGTTTACAAATTTTTATGTCTACTTATCTGTTACAATTTTAGGTTTGTCATATGACGCATTAATGCAATATAAAAGATCAGAATTTACATATTTTTTTAAATTTGTTATACAAATGTTTGATTGTAAATTAAATTTATTTTGTTTGAAACCTATTTGTACTCAGTTGCTTAGTTATTTATATAAACTTAGTTATTTTTAAATAATTCATCTAGTTGTGTACATTTCACGTTTTAAGTTAACAGTTTTCTTTTCTAAAGAAAAATTTCTTTTCTAAAGAAAAATTCTTTTCTAAAGAAAAATTCTTTTCTAAAGAAAAATTAATCACCTAATTAATTAATCAGGGGATACCAAAAAATTGATAACTCCTCTATAATATAAGTCAACTTCATTTTAATCTTAATAGTTCATGTAATAAAAATTATTACAAGGATTTAGTTGCTACTTTAGTCAATTTAAAGCATGATGAAGTGTTATTATTTTGTGTCAGTAACTAAAAACGTATTGTGCTGAATTTAGGAATGTCGAGGAAAATGGTTCCGCTTTACACTGTTATGACTTATGTCAGTCGTAAATTACTCAAATAATGTTAAGTAATTGTAAATGTTAAGTAGTAGCTTGTAAATTATTTTACCTCCTCATACTTTTTATGTTAATTTTACAGATGGATTAATTTTTTCAATTTGAAGGCGTTTTTCTAAAAGGGTGTTAGTTAAGGTTTTGCAACACTAAATTGTGGATAACAGCCACTATAAATTAGTTATGTAACAGACCTGCCGTAACCCGTATTACGGGTTGCTTTTTGCTAGTTAAATATTATTAAGAATAATTTATTTAATTTACTTTTAATCTTAATATATCGTTGCTGCTTTCATGCGTGGGCATTAAAGGGTGATTATTATAGTAATACAGCGATTTTTAAAGTAATATAGCAATTTCCTACTTCTAATTATTATCTAAATTCTGTTTGACGTCCTTTATAGACGAACCCTTACACCATCCTTTAATAAATTGTGTCATCAAAAGAAATGTTTTAAAAATAGAAAAATAAAAAAGGTTTTGAAAATAGTAAACACAAGCTTGTAAATTTCATATTTCACATTTATTGCGAGTTCAATTTTATAATTAATATTAACTTTCTTTATACATAAATCGCATAGCAAAATAAAGTTACAATTACAAAGTCTCAGCAAATATAACAACTAATGTTGTTTAATTACAAAAGAATTACAAAAGATTGGAAGCAATTGCACTCTATTGCGGCAAGGAATACCAATAATTATTTTTTCATGCATTGTCATAAAATGTTGTTATGACCATGGTTCGTTGAAATATTTAAATTTGCTTTTATGTTTTAAATTCAAGTACAATTTAAATTTCTAGTACCAGTTTGTTGTAATAAAAAAAAACATTCTTGTTATTAAAAGAATTTAATTTATGTTTTAATATACGTATTTTACATTTTAAATATAAGCAGCCAGTAAAGTAAAGAAACCTATTTTCCTCATTAAATAAGTTTCTAGAACTAGTTTGTTATAATCGAAAAAACATTTATTCAACTTATTTAACTTTTCAGCCAAAAAGGATGAATTTTTTGAAGAAAATAGCATTTGTGGGTGTTGAACCAAACAAATTTGCAATTTTTTAAATTGTACTTTATTTCTTGCTAACTTTTTTTTAATATTATTTTCTGTTGTTGGAATGAATTGCAAAAAACTATTTTCAAACTTTGAGAACTGAATTTTTTTTTCTGAGCGACTTTAGGGATTTTTATAAAATTACAATTCTCAAAAAGTTTTACTCCAAGTGACATTTTTGCAGTTATGCAAGCGGGTAGTTATATCCAATATAATTTCAAGTTTTAAACTTGAAATTTTATTTCAAGTTTTAAACAATAAATATTAATTTTTTATGTTATTTTTCAAAAAGTTTTTAACAGTAATTAATTTTCAATAATTTTTAGAATTATTATTAAACTTTAGTTAGGCAAACTTTATTTGGAGAATGGGATTTTTTCACTTTCAAATTGGGAATTTTAATTTTATGAGCTTTTGGGAATACCGCGTTTGACGGGGCCCCACATGGCTAGTTTACACCCTGTATGTATGTATGTATGTATGTATGTATGCATGTATGTATGTATGTATGTATGTATGTATGTATGTATGTATGTATATGTATATGTATATGTATATGTATATGTATATGTATATGTATATATATATATATATATATATATATATATATATATATATTTATATATATATATATTTATATATATATATATATATATATATATATATATATATATATATATATATATATATATATATATATATATATATATATATATATATATATATATACATACATATATATAATACCAAAACTTCTTTTCAGCACAAAATGTGATATTACTTTTAAAAATAAGAATATTTTAATTTTATTTAAAATCATTTTATTTATCAAGACATGTATCGACTATAGTCATCATCAGTTAAAATATATTCGCTAAAAACGGTATAAAATATAGTATATAATTGTAAAAATAAACATAATAAAAGCCATAAAATTGTGAACAAACTTCCTATATATACAAAAAGATTTGTTAAAAATTAATTTAACAAATGTCAAATATAACAAAAGAAACCGGTAAATTGTTTTAATTATAAGAGCCATTTTAATATGGTTTACTTACATATTTATTTATATCTTTCCCATCCTATATATATATGTTCGTTTGTGTGTCCAAAAAAAACAACATTTTTGAAAAAAATATGCTAGCATATTTTTTTCAAAAATGTGCCCCCTAATGTGTTCTATATGATAAAAAAAAAAATTTAGTTAAAAAATTTTTTGAATGAAAAATATTTTTAGGGGTCCCTCCAAGACCCTTGAACATATAATGAGTTTCTAATATTTTCAAAAAAAAATCTTCAAAAGTGTTGGGTCTTTATTATGTCTCAAATTATTGGGTCTCAAATGAAGCGCATCATTATATAAAAATTTTAAAAATGATAACTATCTTATAAATGTTAGATTTAACAGCATAAAATATAAAGTTTATTAACTAAAAAAGAAAATCAAATTATTATTTTTGAAATTTTTATATGATTTTGCTTCATTTGAGACACAACATAATACACTTTTGAAGAACTTTTCTTTGATAATATTAGAAACTCATGTTTTTATTCAAAAAAAATTCAAAACCAGTGTTTTTTATCACATTAAGGGGGTGTTAGTATTATTTTTTTTTAATTTTAATAAAAATAGCAACCATGGTGCAGCGGTAGTGTACTTGCCTCAGAAACAAAGGATTTGTGGTTCAAAACCCACCTGGGCAAGTTTTGCAACACTTAAGGACATTTAAAACATTAGGAAAATTTTTCTCATATATATGTATTGCTTAAGTATTGCATATTTAGGTTAGTCAGCCATCAGTACTGAGTTAGGGTTTCCTAAACTGAGTTAGGGTTTCCTAAAAAAAAAATTAATTTACAAGTTTTTCAAGTTTAAAAAATATCTAGGTAAACACTAGCATTTCAAAAATACAAATAAGCAGAAATTAGTATCATACCAACTTTAATCTACAGAAACAATAGATATTAAATTAAAAAACCTGCATGACTGGTTTAACATGTTCTTCAACAGTTGCTAGTTTAACATCATGTTCAATAAATGCAGGCTCATGTTCTTCTATAGCAATTGGATTATTATTATTTTCTATAGTAACTAAACTGTCATGCTCTTCTATATTAGGTGATTGTTTTTGTTCTTCAATATTGTTTGATGTAATAGGGTCTTCTATATTAAGTGACTGTTTATCATCTTCAATACTGGCTGATGAAATAGTCTCTTCTATGTTAGGTGATTGTTTATGTTCTTCAATATTGGCTGATGCAATAGGCTCTTCTATATTAGGTAAATGTTCATGCTCTTCAATATTGGTTGATGTAATAGGCTCTTCTATAGATGTTTCAATAGGTGTTGATATTTTTTCTTCGATAGTCTCTGTTTTAACAAATTCATTTTGTTGTTTTGCTGACAAATTTGTGGAATTACTTATGTTATCGGCTTCTTCTTTTGGTATAGAAAAATCACTGTCACTTTTAGCCTCAACAATATTAGGAACTTCACATTTTTTTAAAGTTTCATCATTTCCTTCTAAAACATTCTCAACTTCTATTGAATGTGTTTGTTTGCTTAAACATTGTGAAAATATTCCATTAGTATTTATGACATCAGTGACATCAGCCATAATCTATATGAACTAAATATAAGCAAATTAACTTATATTAATAAATATATAGAACAATTAATATAACTTTTTATTTTAAAGGATTTATCGTATAAATAGAAATAAAAATATTTTTGAATATACACAATTAGTCTGAATAAATTAAAAACAGAATTAGATTGTTTGAACTTTTACTCAACTGTAAAAAATGAACTACCTGTAACAAAACTGTAATGAAACTGTAATGAAACTACCTGTAATGAAACTGTAATGAAACTGTTATAAAAGAACTAACTGTAATGAAAGAACTGTAATGAAAGAGCTACCTCGTTTAATGAAAAAAAAAAACAATGCACAAGACTTTATAAGTATGAAACAAAACATAACATATTTGATGAGAGCAACACACTGAATCAAACTATCTATTTTTGGGAGGTACCCATATGTCTATATCCTAATGTTATTCTCGAGTAAAAGACAACAACAACAAAAGTTGATCTGCTTTTTTAATTATTTGTTTGCTGAAGCAAATGTATAATAAACAACCTTTTTAAGTAGTAAAAATAAATCACAATACAAAGCATGTGTTAAATCAACCACATTTTATGTCAAAAAGAAGCTAAAACATCATGGCTAAAAAAAGTTCACGGTTAACTTCATGGTTAAAAACCGTATAAAAAACAAAAACTTATAGTTTCCATGTTTTGGAAGCAAAAATATATTTCTAGTGTTCAGAAGTGTTGCATTTTAAAGTAATCAATTTCATGTTCCTTTTAATAGAAAAATCATACCTTGAATAATAAAAATTAAAATAATAAAAATTTTTAAAAAAATTAGGAAAAGACTTGGATTTTTAATTTGCTTTTGTAGTGACAAATAAACTTTGTAACAAAAATGGTTACCCTACTTATGTACAGGGTTTTGTAACAGTAATTAAAATAAGATGGAGAGTATGAAGTGACTAGGGGCCCTAGCCCTAGCCAAGGTTAAAAATGAGACTTTTTGTAAACCCAGCCCCGGCCCCAGCAAAATTATAAGATTTAGCAGGGGTTGATAGCCTGGGCGATAAAAAAAATTATAATTCTTTATGTTATCATTTTATACTTACATTTACTATTTATTAAATGTATAAAAAAAGAAAACATTAAGATGGATAAGAGTTATAAGGTTTTTTTGATAAGCAAGAAAAAAACTGGATTAATAAATGTTTTTATAGCCGAAGGGACAAATACAGTAAAAGGATGCAACTTGTAGAATAAGAAGCCAAGCAAGAATGAGTTTTGGTTTATTGTAATAGAGATAATAGCATGTTTGAGCATTGACCCTGATTAGAGAAACAGCATAAAAGAGAAAGGCTAAAGCCTAATGATGATAATGATGATCATGTTGATCATTATAATCACCATAATGATGTTTATATGTGCATATTTATACAAAATATAACATGAATTTTGAATTATATATATATATATATATATATATATATATATATATATATATATATATATATATATATATATATATATATATATATATATATATATATATATATATATATATATATATATATATATATATGTATATATATGTATATATATATATATATATATATATATATATATATATATATATATATATATATATATATATATATACACTTTAGGATGTATAAATGTTTATGCAGCCCTAGTCACAAACCTGGCCCCGGCCATATTATATCAAACTCAACCCCGGTCAAATATCAATCCTGGTCACTTACTAATGGAGAAGAGTATCTGATTTTCACTTAAAATCTTGAATAAAACTGTCTACAAACTTATACATAACTTCATACAAGGCTAAGCCTGATTTTATTATTATTTTAATTAACTGTTTATCCTTAAAGAGTCTTTAAGAAAAAATTATTTATAAAAAACTTAGGGTTTGTTATGATCAAATAATTATTTTTGACAAAAAATATAAATTTAAAATTAAAAGTGAGAAGTTTTGAGTTCAATCCCTAACACTTCCTTGGTTGGGATTGCGTAGTGGCCTTGTTCATCATTATACAGTTGTAAGAATTGAGAAAGGGTTGTAACCACAATTAAAGGTGGCTAACCTCAATTGAAGAGGCTTTCTCTGCCTTAGGGAGGTGAATTACCAAAAAAAAAAAATTCTTTATGTTTTACTATTGATTAAGGAGCTCATTATAAATTTTTGTAGCACAACACAAAAGCATTATATTTATTATCTCTTAACAATATTTAAACTCAGCTTTTATACTTAATAATTTGACTTTTATACTTAAGAATTTGATGCAATTAAAAATTATGTTTAATATTTTTCGAGTGTATGTTGTAAATATATAACAATACAACTATACAAATATTTCTTTTAAGGTTTCTTAACTTTCAAGGTTGATAATAAAGTTTTCAATATTTTATTTTGAGAGAACTTTTAGTTTAGAGAATACATTTTACTTTAGTAACTTTTGTTGTTGTTTTTTTTCAATTAAAATTACTTTTGCTGCATATTTATTGCAAAATAATTTTATTCTAAAATTGTTTAAGGCAAGATGGCAGATGGCAGATTTAAATTGAAAAAGAAACATTGAAAAACAAGTTTCAAAATAATTTAACAATCAAAAGTAACTGTTTATATAAACATTGATAATAAACCAGTTATTTAGTTATATCACCATTGCTTTATTTCTCACAGATAAATATTGGTTTGAGAACCAAAGTTTGAACTTTAAATGTCTTTACAATTAAATAATTTCTACCTCGGCATATCTTTACCATTATATCATTAATAATTATGGTGACTGGTTCCTGACAAAACTTTAATATATTAAACACTAAAAAAAATGTATCTGGCAGTTGTTTATTAGCCCCAGTCATTCTTAAATTAACTTGGCCTCATGAATAGCTAAGGGAATCTAAGGCTTTTAATAAACAAATTAAAGTGTCAAATAAAAAAACTTCTTATATACCTCTTACCTTAGCATTATAGCCCTATACTACTCCTCCATAGCCCTCTACCACACCCAAAATAATCCCTCCATATAAAAATGCTACTTATTATGATACATTACTTAGAATTAAAAACTCCTAATAAAATTGTTTTGTTTTATAAACATACTGGTACGTAATACTAATTTTTATATCAAAGAAAGATTTTTTAGATAAAAAAAATCAACTATCTAATTTATATTTTTTTTTAGATAAAAAAAAATCAGAATATTTTAACTTTCTAATTTTCTTTTAACATATTAAATTTAAAAATTTTTAAATTTTTAAAATTTCTAATTTATATTTTCTTCTAACATATTAAATTTATATTTTCTTTTAACATATTAAATTTAATTTCTTAAATTTAAAGCTGTAAAACTAAAAGATTGAAAATACTTTTTTTAATAACAAAAAAAAACACATAAATAAATAGCTTTTTTGAAAATAAAACAACTCAATTTTTGCTCTACACTGAAAAACATAAAAAGAACTTAGTATAAACACAGCTCATCTCTTTTAGTAAAAAATTAAAAATGAGCAACAACTTACCAGAATACCAAGTTGTCTTCATTTATATTAATCTTGTGTAACAATAACTCATTTAACTCATTCTCAACTAATACAATGAATCCACAGCAACTATAAATGCAACATTGCGTGAAAACAAGAACTTGTCTTCAAACTATTATTGCAAGGTATAGCATTATACTTGCTGTGAATAAACTAATCAGAGAAACAAACACGAGCAAAAATTGCTCACTCTCTTGAACTTTAAATTTAAATAATTAAATTACCAAAAATGCTTCTGATAATGCAAAAAAAAAAACTCTCAGGAGAGTAGAAAATGAAAGTATTTTAAATATTATCAAAAGAACCCTAGTCATTTTTGATAATGCACAATTCTGTCAGTAATAACTTTCTTTTATGCCATGTCCATCATCCATGTCCATCATTATTATAATAATCCATTAAAACAAACAATGCTTCAAGAAATAAAAACTAATTTCTAATTTTTCTGATTGTTTTTTAAAATACTCAGATAATTTTCTAAGATAAATATATAGATCATCATATAGAAATATACTTCAGTAAAAAAAGAAATAGCATTTAAAACTTAAAACATTGCATATTTTTTTAAACTAAAATTATATTCAACGTTTCAAACATGATTTTCAAACATGGTGGATTCAAATATGGTGATACTCTTCTTTTATCTATGTATAAAGCAAATTAAATTAAATTTAAATTTAAAAAATTAATTTAAAATGTTAAACCAAACAAATTGATTACAATGTTTGAGTGAAAAAAATTAATTAAAAAACTAAAATAAATAAACTTATCCAAATCATTTAAAGAATATTAGACTCTTTGAGTTCAAAAGGTTGGTAAATTTTATATGTGTGTGTGTAAAATAAAACCAACCTAAAGTTGATTTGGATATGTTTATATTTTTTACATTTACTATAACTAGTTATTACAATTATTATTGTAATAATAGCACTGTTTTTTACTATATAATACTTTTTATTAGTTACAACTTATGATTATGAGAAATTAACATCGATTGTTATCTTTTTTAATAATTTACCTTCCGCATATATGTTCTTAATTTCAAAACATCCTGGATTTTATATCATGATTTTTTCCATAACTTTATTCAAAAAATTTTAAAAAATTAAAAAACAAAAACCTGAACAATTAAAAAACTATTTCTTTTTAGGATTTTCCTTTAATTAAAAAACTGCCTGCTTTAACTAAAACCCTCTGATGTATCTATTTTCAATCACAGTACCAATACCTAGAACATTACTAAATTGTGTATTGTTTATGCTTTTAAACCCAAGCTGTTTTAAAATCAAAAAAATTTAAAACTCATGCATAAAGTTAATGGTTAAAAAAGATAGAGATCAATAACAAATTCAAGTTCATTTTTTAACATTGAAATAAAAATTTAAACTAATTTTCAGATATACAATTTAACTAATTTTTAATCAAGGCAAAATCAATAATCACCCATAAAAATATTACCTAGAAAATCAAAACAGTGCTAATAATAAAAATAATAATAGTAATAATAATAACTGTTGTTGTTATTGTTGTAACTGTTACTTTATTATTTCTATAAAAAATAATTTTATTAACATTAGTATTATTAAAATAGTTATATTAATAATACTACTACTATTTCTAATTGATTTAATTTTATATGATCATTAATAATGAAAATTAATAAATAGAAATCAATTAGAAACGATCCAATAAGTAAATTAAAAATAGAAAAAAAATAATCTTTGTTTTAAAAATACTTTTTGTTTAATTTTTTAAATTTCAAACAACTACTACTAAAGTTTGGAAGCAGATATAAAAATTAAAAAAAAAAATTCAAACTATTATTTACTTATATATTTAAAGCAATTTTATAACTATGACACTTCTCAAATGAAGAAATAAAAGTAAATTCTAACAAAACTAAAACATTCAATTGAAGACATTCTTAAAATTTTCTTCGAAACTAATTACCCCTTGAACGCTGATTTAAAAAAATACAGCAAGAACTGATTTTTATGACTTTCTTTTAAGTTAGAACATAACAGGAAAACCTTGTCACTTTTAAAATACCCGGACGAATTCCATTCATATACTAGTGTAAGAGTCGCACAAAATTATTTTTATAAAAATGAGATTTTGTGAGCAATGCGAAAATAAACTTGCGTCTCAAATAGGAAAGTATGACCATTTTTGACTCAGTTAACTTCTCCTAGAATAAACTTTAAAAGATGGCTCAATAAATCAATCTAATTACTGTAGTAATAATGTTTTAGAGCAAGTTGACATCTATGATGTAATAATCCAGTAATTTTTTCTTGTTATTAATTGAGGGGCTGATCCAGACCATCGAAAAAAGGGGGTGGGGCTATATTAAGAACTTTTTAGCAATCCAGTAAACCATAATACTTTTTTAGTTATTTTTTGTTTGAATATTAAACTGTCACAAAAAGTGATATTGCAGCCCCGTGAATCATAAGTCCTGTTAAATATTTACAAAAATTTACATTTGACACGCAGTGTATCTTAATTAAAAAAAAAAATTAATTAGTTTTAAACTATGTTAATAAAAACATTTAATTAAAAAGATAGCTATAATTTAAAACTTATGGTTAAGTAACAAATCATTAGATGTATAAAAAAACTCTATATTTATTTTTTTTTAAATCAAAAAACAACATTTTTGAAAATAATCTGCTGGCTCTCCTTTAATAACACTAAAATTGATAAATTTAATAACCGTATTGGGTTTAAAATTAGGTAATGTTATAAAATGGTATTACTCAAAAGTCTTACTAAAAGATACCATTTTTAATGCAATAAAATATAAATGATTTAATAAATGTTTTTATTATCAAGAAGGAAAACCTCTCAAAAAAATTTTTCTTTTTTAATTATTATTATTATTTTTTTTTTTTCAGATAGTTTAAAATTAAAATGATTAAAAACATTGATCTACACTATACAGCAAGACCTTATTTATTGTTCAAAAATTTAAAAATTCTTTATTTTTCCTTTATACACATGGGCAAATACCCATAAAGTTCTCTCTATAGACGACAGAAACTCGCTTCAAGAATTATATTTTATAAAAACAAGCTTACTCGTGCAAACCCATCACTAAAACAGATAAATGCTTTAAAATATTTTTTTTATGTTTAAACATAAAATAAGAAATCTTCCAAGTTTAAAAGAACTTTTTTAAAACTTTTCAAATAAATTTAGCGCTAGAGCAACTGAAAACTATATAGTACACTTGAAAAGAAAACTACCCCAATTCTCTATAACATATCGTGGTCTTTACCTGTATAACAAATTAACACCAAAAAATTCCTTATTATCTCCTTATTATTATTATCTCCTGAAAAATTCCTTAAAAGCTAATCTTAAAAATCTCATCTGAGATAAAAACAGTAAATTTAAAGATTTCTGTTTTTATCTCATCTGAGACAAAAACAGAAATCTCCTAATATCTTATCAGTAATTAGAATATCAAAAATATGTCCAAAAAAAAAATCCAAAAAAAATCAAAAAATATATAAGCAAGTATGTATATACATTTATATATGCTATGCTTATGTTATGCTCCTTCCTAATAACACGACTAATTATATTGGAAAATATAAAAAGTAATGAATAAAATAGTTATGAGTATATTGTAAAATTGTTTTAAAAAAAGAGTTATCATTTAAAAGACTTCACACACTTTTCCGCGAGTTTTCCTTGGCTGAATAACTAAAGGTTTATTTTTCCTTTTATAATTTTAAAAGACTTTTCTTGTCTTTTCAAAATATAAACTATAAAATTATTTTACTTAATTTTATTACTTTGTACATCAAATATATCTTACTATTGTTTCAGTTATTTTTGAAGCATTTTGATTGTATTTGTAATAAAAGTATATATTGTTAAAGCTATGTAGTTGTAAAAATATATGATAAGAAAAGATAAAAATAAAAGTATCAAACAGTAAATTTTATATATTCTTAAATGGCATTTTTGTACAACCACCTAAATTCAATTTAACCAAGCAACACTCCTAGTAATTGTTAATAAAACACAGTTTGCCCAGCTTTTGTCCGCGTTTTTTTTTTTTTTTTTTTTTTTTTTTTTTTTTTTTTTTTGCGGCCTTGTTTCCACTATCTCTAAAGCCATATTTCAAAACTACATACTTGAAAAAGCGTGTTATTATAAGTCATCTTTTTAAGCCTCTAGACAATGTTTTTCTTGAGTAGTATTGAAGAAAACAAACTAAAAAAAAAATATTCGCACGATTTTTCGCCCTTTTTGAACGAAAGAAGATTAATCTTCTGTCAAGCTTTTAAACAAAAAATATCTAAAAGCTCAAATTTGTTACATGAAATGTTGAAATTGAGTAGCACGATCTGACTTTTAAAAAATATCATATCATAAATATTTTACCCACAATGCTTTGAGACTTTTTCGATTTTTAATTAATTATAAATAAGGGGTAAATTTTGTAATAGTTTGATAATGACTTATAAAATAATTAAATTAAATTCTTTTTTTTATATCAAAACGTAAAAAATAATCTAAAGAGCAATTCTGCAAAACTTTGCAATTGGTTGAGTAAATAATTTACAATCTTTGGCAGAAAATTAGAAAAGACAATTTGTAAAAACAAAGTATATATAAATAACTTAAAATTATCTTTTTCCATAAACGTCACCCTCTTCTTCATTATTCTTATCATCAAATTCTTTTCTGTTGGTACTTAACTTTTTTCTTTGTTTTTTTCCGGAGTCGTATTACTTTTTATTTACTTGATTAATACACAATTTATCTTTTTTAGCTAAATTTTGTAATTGAACTATATGAATATGAATGTTAAAGTTTTTAAAAACTTCCAAAATACTATTTTATTCATCGTTAAACAACAAAATAGATGATGCTACAGCAATCTCAATTATTTTTCTACTAACATAAACTGTTTTTGGAGCACGGAGCCGTTTAACGCCTCATTAACATTTTAATTCTCCCTATCTAAACATCTTTCTAAAAGATTTTCTGAACCGAGATCTTTCCAAGAAAATATTGATTTAATAAAGTTACTTATAGACTTTGGTAAAGATATACTGTTTTTGAATTTAGAAGTATTGTTAATTTATCCAGTTGATTAAATAAACCATGATTCAAAAGTAGAAGCGCAAAATTGATGACGGTCTTCAGGATCATTGTTTGCTGAACAATGTATAAGTGCAGCAATACTTTTTTTTATGCCATATACTTCACCATAATTTTGAAGAACTGCCATTCCATTATATTTCTTAAGCGTGTTCATTACTTTATCGTTCATTCTTTCCTTGCCAGTTAGTCATTTAACCATCATTTAATAGTTTGCGCTTGCGCACTCTATTTTAAAGCTCTCAATCGTGATTCAACAATTTCTAACAATTTTCAACGAATTCCCTCTTTA